TGACTGCATCAATCTTCTCGTATGACAGTATCTTTGAGTCAGACATACCTCACGATACATTAGATTAAGCCATGCAGGACGTTTTTTTCTATGGTTTATGTGAATCATCGTTTGGGCATGTTTACCCACCTTTTCAGGTGCAGATTCTGCTTCTGCTGTTCAATAATTTTCTGCAAGGCAGATACTTATGATGATATCCTTCTTCTAAGTAGACGTTAACTCCTTTTCTGGCTGCACCACCTAACCTTCCAGAATTGTCAGCTGGATCAAGAGTTGAAGAATTGAAAAGCTGCCGTTCTTGATCCGATTGTACAGGGAATATGGGGTGAATATGTTTCAGTCCATGTTTATCTGCTCTGTCGAGTCAGGGTCAGATTCTATGGTTACTTTATGGTCCCTAAAGGGACTCACAGGTAACTAGGGAAAGAAAATCCATTACAGCAGGACCCCGCATTACCGTCAAAAAGGAAGACACCGTGTTACTTCAGGGCTAGCACTAGAGTGCCACCAAGATTTAGTCAAAGCCTCGGTAGATAATAACATTATCCTGAGGTGGGTTAAAGGGCACGAAAGGAGTAAAGGTAATCGCATTGCCGACTCTTTAGCCAAGGAAGCGGCTGGACTAAGAATTTTAGGACCAAGCGGCACCCACGGCCTGATGACTTCGACAATTGCGGAACTAGTCAAATGTTACACCCATGCTCAATCTTTAAAGAGATGGGATGAAATCAAAGGATGTAATCTTGCCAGGATCACCTTGGGCGACCCTGGGAAGCTGGCGCCGAAGAAATATCTGGCGATGACCAGGAAAAATCTACGCCTTACAGTAGGATTTCTGACTGGCCACTGTCAGCTAAGGAAACACCTACATAATATGGGGCTAGTGGACACACCTCTATGCAGGATGTGTGAACAGGAAGATGAGACTGTCAGGCATGTCCTGTGCGAGTGCCCGGAGTTATCGTCAATAAGAGAGTGTGTGTTCGGCGAGTCTTGGCCTACACCTGCCGATATAAAGGAGATGTCTCCCAGCGACCTGTCCACCTTCCTGGAAAGGACTGGATGGACGACTACCTAGGAGGACAACTCCTTGGGAGGATGTACAATGGGTCACATGTGGCCTAAGTGCGTGGGCTTACACTCACCCTCCCTACTCTACAGATACACATACAGATACCGTCAAAAGGCTTTCTAGGACGAGAGGATGCCCGATTCCATTAGTGACACTGACAGAGTCATACACCCTGTCGGCACGAATTTTTACACGTTAAGATGAGACGTCAGATGACACCTCACCTGGCAAAAATGTTTCAAAGCCTCTCGCTGCAGGGCAGATTTTATTGTTTACAAGAAACATTTTCCTGGTGAGACACCAAGTACAGAGTTTCATCAAAACTCTTTCATATCAATGTAGTGAGGTTAAATAGCATATTATATTTTCTTGTCATTTATGATGTCACAGATTTTTGAAAATTTATGTAGGTACCCAGTTGAACTCACAAGATGTACCAAGTACCAAGTGAGTAGTTATACTCCGGAGAGAAAGATACCTACATTTTCATTTTTCACACCACATCTCTTTTCAATTCTTTCTCCTCTTTTCAGTCGGTTTCACTTCTGAATGTATTGTAACTAAACGATAATCTGATAGAAACATTACTAAAATGGGCATAACAATTAGCAACTTTCAAACATCGACCTAGTTTGGTGAAATTCATATATATATTAAATTCTGCGGTAGGATATTTTGAAGTATTGTTTTATGGAAATCGTTAATTATAGAGGCTGGCGGGCTTTCCAGTTGTGAAACTAATGGCAATATATTACCTATTTACCCTTAATTAGGGATAATTTATTACGCGTTCAATGAATAACAGTATTTTTGTTAATATATTGATTCGATTAGGCATTACATATTTCATGAAGGTATCTCATAATTTCCAATCATTTCTATCATGTCGAATCCAGTTATTTAATCCCAAGACCGTGTCGTCGCCACGGTTAGACTCGAAATGTTTCCACACCAATGTTTGAAAATAAACTGTCAAAAATTATGGAATATTTGTGCCTTAATTAGTTACTTGTCAGGAAATATTATAAAAATAATGAATTCTTCAAAGGCTACACATATTCCTGATTTAGTTATACCCAAATTATAATTAGTTGTTAGGAAATATTGCCGGAAAAATAAACATATTCATGATTTGTTTGTGACTTAATAGTTACTAAAAAAATATAATTATCAAAAAATTGACGACGGATATTGCTTTATGCACTCCTACACAATGTTCCAGAACATACCACAGAATTCGAGAGTGTTCGGGAATGTACCAAAATGTTCTGGGATGTTCCCGAATGTTCTCACAGCAATTCAGAAACACTGTTATTTTGTGAAACTTTCGCTTCTAATGAAATGCTTCTTCAGGGCAGTAGAAATGAGTATATAACAATGAATTGAACATAGAAATTGACAAAAAAAAGTGAAACATGTATTGGAATTTTTTTATTGTGCATGGAAGGTGCATATTTCGAGCATTTGTTGATATACGAATGATGTACGTCAATTCATCTTTGCACTTATTATGGTAAATTCCAATAAAAAAAATTACACACCATTGTTTTGAAAATTTCCTTCCAGTGAACAATATGAGGAATCGAAAAAATGGTCAAGTGTGACACTTTCAAGGACTATTTGTAGCCCTCGTCGTTCAACCCCCTATGAGGGGTAGATGTCACCCTTAGAAATTTAAATGAGAAGGGGGTCAAGTAGTACATCATTTCGATTGGCGTTCAATTCTGCTTCCAATGGGACCCTGACTTATTATTTTTTTGTGAGCATTTTCCGAAACATAGCGTTCTGAATTAGAATTTGCCTGTTCTGAGATGCATGATTGTATTCACTTCTTTTAATAAAAAGGTTAGAAGAGTAGGTGGCAGCGTTCCGACCCTTGAATGACAGGAATAGATGTATTACACGAGGAATTTTTTATTTGTTGGTTATCGTCCTTCTACAAAATGAAACTTAATTTGCGGGAAAGACATTTAAAACATAAAATCTACTCAACCTTGTCTTATAAACTGTTCGAAATGTCCCCTCTAACATTACGGAAACCTTCACAAGGAATTGACTGGCATGCTCCTGTAATTCGTCTTTTGAGTTCTTCAAAATCAGAAGGTTGTGTTTTATAAACAACGGATTTGAGATACCCCTTAAAGAAAGAAATCTGAGGATGTTTTATCTGGTGATCTCGAAGGCCATTCAACTGATTCCCTTCTGCGAATCCATCTATCCGGAAATCTCTCGTTTAATCACTGTCGGACGAAAAGAAAATAATGAGGTGGGGCACCGTCCTGCTGGAAATGTATAAACAGATCCTCCTGCAAAATTAAGTTACCTTCTCTATCCATTTGAGTTTCTAGCTCGTGAATCATAAGAGGATCCATAGTATCTTCAAGCATTTCAAGGTACATATTGCCAGTCAAGTTTTCTTCCCAAAATAATGGACCAATAATGACATTTCCAAGAATACCAGCCCAGATATATTAACTTTTTGTGGGTGTTGTGTATGCCCTTCCCGAAATATATATTTATACATATATATGTGTGTGTATGTTTGGATAGGTTTCCGCGGTCAGCATTATGTTGTCCTTGAGTTCGGATTGAACCACGTCTGGAGTTTTCAATTTGATGTGACTTGACGCCGGGGCCTCTTTAACAGTGGAAAGTGAACCTCCAGTCATAAATGAGGCAACAAAAGTGGCAATTTCAGTTTCATATTGGGCTTGATGTTAAGTACAAGACAGCTAGTAACTGTTTCCAGTGTTTCACGAACCAGCATTCAGTGTATTTTGAAACGTCACAAATTTTATCCTTACAAAATTGAATCAACACAAACTGAATGAAGATGATTCTGTAGTTAATTAAGCATACGATTGCAAATCCACAGTTTAGTTCAATCATCTGTTTTAGCGATGAATGATATTTTTCTGAAATGGTACAGTCACTCGTGAAAATTGTCGATATTTGGTTCATTCTAATTCTCACATATTTCATAGGATACATAAGGAACATCCCCAGAAATTTAATATATGGACTGGTATTCATGGTGAGAGTATCAATGACTCTTCATCCTCCGAAAGGAATCTTTCAGTGCCACTATAGCTGAAACAACTTGAAAACACAATTGAACATTTTTTATCGAACATGATCATTGAAAACGACTAAAATTATTCGTTGATAACAAATAAACAATATGGCGCTTCTCCGCACTGCTTTCTGCCTGCTTGGTAATATTCAGATCAAAACTTCCTGGGTCACTGGATTGGTCCTAGGTTCTATTGAATGGCCTCTGCGATCACCAGACTTGTGCATCGAAGTTAAAAGCACAAATTTCTAGCACTTGCTTAGATGGTAATGATGTAAGTCAATTTATCTCTATACTCATCATATTACTTCCCAATCTGAAAGATTCTTTACCATTGTTTCTAAAATTTCATGGGCTCTCGAATGATTGCCACTCGATACCTATTCCCTGTTCACTTTCAGGGTGGTTCACCCTACTGTTCGAGAGTTGAAGTGGTGCTGCAGTCAGGAAAACGAAATGTTCCCCTTCAATCTTAAATCGACCTGACTGAGACTCTTCCCATATCTACGATATAATGTGAAGTTTCCGATGGGCCACCCTGTATATCCAAATTTATAAACGTATTAGAAAAGAGAAAGGCAATTTGAAGAAGGCAATATTCTAGAATATGTAATCTCCTAATTCCTCGCCGAGTTTCCTGAAGATCTCATATTGTGAAAGTCATAGTTCATCACTACTAATGATAGACTTTTGGTAGTGAATGTACAAATTCATTTTTGTACCCATCTATTTGAGTTTTTCAAAAATATCATTTATCATCAAAACCATCATCAGGTGGACAGTTATGAAAAAGTTATGAAAAATTCATTGTTTTCTTATGAAATATTTTTGCAAATGATATGATTTTTTTTTCAGATATTTGTTGCAATACTTCTGGTAACCTGGGAATGGCAACAAGTTGCTGCTGTTGTTAATAATGGTCAACCGTCTGAAGTGGAAGAATCGAAAGAAATCTCTCCTGATAAATCTCATGATGATAAACCCACAGATAATGGAGTGGATTCAGTAGCGGCAGGTACCGATGAAAAAGCGAACCGACGCGAAGCTCCGCTATCTCTTGGTGATACATATGGAGCACCAGCAGTTGTACCAAGTGACTCCTATCTTCCTTCAGGGCCTAGTAGTAACCTACCGGTGCCCGTTTATGGAGTTCCTGATGCTCCTACAAACCATATAATTTATCCACAACCACCTCCGGATATTCCTCCACCGGTTTCGTTGCCATCATCATCGTATGGAGCACCATTATCGGGTATATATGGAGCTCCTCTGTCGAATAATTATTTGCCTCCACCTTCAGGATTATCAAATTTGAAATTTGAGGATCCCCTACTGACTGCACCAAAATATTTAGGACCTGGTCCTGGTAGAATGAAACCTGTATATGGACCTCCTCGTTTTCAATATGGTCCTCCAGGTAAACCATTATTCAACCATAAGTTCAGTTCAAAACCTCCATTTAAGTATTTCGGTGGACCGAAATATCCTAAACCATCAGGCACATATGGACCACCATCAGGATATTTTAAAAATAATTTAAGTTTCACAAAATTCAACACAAAATTCAATGGTGGTAATTTTCTTTCACACACTCAATCAGAACATCATGGTCATTCCTCACATTCTAGTGTTTCTGGCCATTCCGACTATTCTGGTCATTCCGGGACATCTGGTATTTCTACACATTATGGAGTACCATCCCCTGGCGTTCAAACTCATTTGACAAATGTGGATGTTTCCAATCTGATAGGAAATGGAGTCAATAACCAATACGGAGTTCCAAATTTAGGCCTCCCTAACACGGGATTACATTCTATTCCTAACCAATATGGAATTCCTGATGGAGATATACTGGGACCCCCAAAGCCCCATTATGGTCCACCACAACCTTCCCCTCATCCTAAACCCCCTCATCCAGGTGCTCCAGCCCCACCAACTCCCCCGGATATTAAATATGATGGATGGCAACCAATACCAGGATTAGTTTCAAGAGTACCAACTTCATCGTACGGTGTACCACCAAGTGATAATCATATTGAAAATGATGTTAGTTACCATAACGACTTAGTACCTCCAGCAATAGGCAATAACCTTGAACATCAAACAATACAGCATGAATCAGTCGGAAATCTTGCTTTAGAGACATCATATGGAACTCCACATCAAGGTGCACGAGACTCTTATCGTGCTCCTTTGAATACTGTAACTGGTTCAGGAGCAGTTATTATTGCTTCAGGAGAAGAAGCGCATGGAAATCATGTTCACCATCATGCTCATCATACAGATAATGCCAATAACATTGATATCTTGTCTTCAACAAGTGGATTGGGACAAGAAGTTCAAGCTGTGAAAAGTATAGGGTACGAAATTTTTCCTAGTAGTAGCGGAACAATCTCTAATGGACTAGGACAAAATAATGAAGCATACAAAACTCAAATATCTCACTCCGGTAATAGGCAGTATGCAGGACCCCATTCACAGAGTAATACAGGAACCTTTGGTTTTTCTGCCAATGAAATTTCCAGTCATGATTTTCACAATTTTCACAAATCTCACAAACATAAAGGTTTATCATTCTCTACTTCCGGTGTAGGATTGATACCACCAAGTGGAGTTTATGGAGTACCTCCAAGTGGACAATATGGCACACCTCTCTTCACAGGTCCCATACATGGGTTCTCTCACAACGCACCTAAACTGAACCCACCAAAACATCCTATACTCTACAGAGAGCCTGTGCCATCTGGAATATTCGACTCTATCACGAAACAAACAGCTCATAAGTACCGTGGACATTCCAGTCAATCCACATACCTTTCTCCCCCTGTTCCTGATATTCCAAATCCCACCAAAGAATATGGAATTCCACCACCTTCAAGTCTGTATAGCTTACCGAAGACGCATTCTGCAGTTTCATTTCAAAATAATAACAATGGTTTCGCATCTACCGGTTTCAAATATAACGTAGATGCTGGATCGTCATCACTCATCTCAAGTTATGGGCCTTCTTTGAATATCATAGAAAGTTCGTACAATCTGCCTACCGGAGCACATTCCGTTGGTTATGATGTGATTGGTTTAGATCAGTCTCATCCAGGAGTAACAATAGATTTTACGCAAGGTCATGTTCCCCAAAGTGATAGTTACAGCATTCCTCACGATTGCAGCTTGAAGTCACAGAATCTTCCTCCACTTTCTTATGGTGTGCCATCTGCAAGTAGTTATACCGCATCGCTATCAACACTCACCACTAACATAGGTGGATCAAACAGTGGTTCTTCAACGAATATAGCGGGATCATATAGTGGTTCTTCAACGAGCAAAAAGGGATCATATAGCAGTTCTGGAGGATCATTTAGTGGATCAACATACAGAAACGCAGAACCGTTACCCGTCCCACAGTCACAAATAGGTTACGAAGTTTCTGAACCAAAACCCCACGAAACGTATGGAGTTCCAGATTCAAGTGGCTCACATAGCCAAAAGATCAGTTCAGAGGTTAAAACGAATTTAATTGGAGAAGAATCTCAAGGAAAGTCTTACGGAAAATCAGTGGCTGAAAGTTTTGGAGCAAGCAGTGAATTGATTCAGTCTCAAAGTATTGATTTCAATAATATTCCTCTACAAGGTGCTTTGGGAAGTTATACTCTACAAATTCAGTCAGCAGATGGAAGCCAGAATGAAGTACCACATGGTCAGGTTCTGAATGACGGTCTGCTGCAATCCATTTTAGCTGCTATAGAACAACCTTCAAAAGGTGAAAGCTTAGCTGGCCAACCAATCATTCAATTCCAGAAAAGCTTGGAACAACAAAACTTTGTTACGAATGATACAATATCATCTGTAGTAGAAAAACTAGCTGATGCTGAAATCAGACATTCTACTCAACTTGCCAAAGATGAAATTGAAAAATCTTCTGAGTTGACTGATTCTGAAATTCAGCATTCTTCACCTCATCAACATTTTGTTAAATCAACATCAACTGAACTTGAGGACAGTGGGAATTCACAAGATGGAAGCGATGTGGATAATGTTGATGAAACAACTATTCCTCTATTAGAAGACAACGGAATTGCTCTCTATTTTAGTAATAATCAACGATCCAAGAAAGAAACTTCTGAAGAAGGAAATCTTGGAAAAAATGATATGAAGGGTGAATCCACACACAATAGTCATTGAAGGGTTATTCAAAGTGACTGATGAATAATAGTTGCTCAAAGAAATTGTTTTGATCATGAAACCATTTGTAAATATTATGATCATGAACAAACTTTGCATCATTTTTTTATCATTAGGTTTATACTCATTATTTATTATTATCTATTTATTTATTTCAGTTGTATTGCAATGTTATTGTGAAATAAAAAAGTTTTCGTAATGTTTCTTTCAGTTTCTCTCTTCAAATTATTTCAGCATATTTACTCCAAGAACTGGGGAACAATGTCTTTAGTGGGTCTATTCAACCACCCACTGCAACCCGCGAGGGTTAACTGTAGTTTAAATCGATTCAACTGGTCGGCGGTGGGGCAGGCAAAGAATATGTGCTCTGCCACCAGGTCAAACTGTCAGACCATGATATATTTACCTCAATCTAGTGAAGATCTTATCAGCGGTCAGTCTACGACTGCGTTCGTCGGTTATGTGGCTTGGGAAGAAAGTTTCCTGTGAAGCTTTCCAGGAAGACAACTTCTCATGACAGTATAGAGTACTAGCTGCACCCATAATTCAGGAGACTCTCTCGCAATCCTCCAATGGACCTGTAGCCATTCAGGCCTGAACCGGGATTGTATCTGTGAACCATCTTCTGGAATATCCTCTACGAGAGACATAATGTAATCTGCTGGAATCTGTTTTTCCGTTAACCAGCTGTCGCCCCCCTATGAACGGCTACTCTGAAAAGTCGAAACTTGTGCGAGTTAAGGACTAACGAAGTTTTACCTTTTTACGTGTGATTCCTAACACGATTCCTAATACTGAAGAAATTTCAGTTGATTGGTCAATATTGAGGATTTTGGATGTTTAAGGTGGAATTTTTGAAAGTTTACTGCGGTCATTGACGCAGCAAATTTCCTGTATAAGAGCATCTGTGAGTCAGGTTCGCATGATTTAAAATATTTATATGATTCAGTCGTGAAGGCCTTTTTTGCTTCTGGTTTGTGTGATTTATGGTTCGAACGTAAGCGTTTACTGACCTACACAGGAAGAGTTTGTTTCCTTTCCCAACGCAGATTTTGAAACCGCTACTCAAAAATTTCGTGAAAGGCAGTTTCATGAAATAACCTGCTCTTGAGGAGGCGATAAGTCGCTTCCTGGTTTTACCACCTACCTTCTTAGACCTGTTGACAGGATCGAAAGTTGAAGAATGGAAAAGCTCTTGCTCTTGATGCTACATTACAGAAAAGACAGTTGGGGTCATTAAATCGATGTCTATCTCCACTGTAGACTTAACATCAGATTTTTTGGTCACATCATGAACCACAAAGGATCCCACGAATAGCTGAGCTAAAGAGGTCCATCACGACAGCCCTGCATTACTTCGACCAGACTTTCTACGACGAGAAGGCGCTTGATATCGTGAAGGTTCCGTTAGTCACACTGAGTGGACTCGGAGTAATACATTCTTTTGGCACGGATACACACCTCTTCCGGCAGGGCGAGAATGAACCAATGAGTTTGCAAATTGAGTTCTTTCTACACGAATATTTTAAAACTTATTGGAGGTGTGGGTGATGTTGCTTTGAAATTCCTTCTGTGCTTACTCTCAAATTATTATTTGGCCCACTTCGAAATTCAATTAATGACACTTTTTTGTGAGATTTCAACAAATCAATTCATAAAACTGTACCAGGTTCTGCAACTTTCATTTATTATAAGAATGAAGTGTTCTCAAACACGTTTATAATGAATTTTCATATACGGGGTGGCTCGTCCGAGATGGAACACCCTGTATATTGGAAAATTTTACACTATTAAGCACCCTGAATAGATTGAGTTGCTTATTTCCTAGAACTATCAAAATTCAAAATTATATTCCCAGAATCAACTTTTTGATCAACAGCGCTGACAGAACCGCAACACGTGTTTCACAATACATGTTACGAATCGTGGTTTAATATGAAAAATTTGTTCATTCTGTAACTACTAATCATCAAATGGCAAATTTTCATAAATATCGAGTACCGTTTTCCTTGACCAAAGTCAATCATCAAGGCATAATTTGGAAATTTATGAAACCAGAGTTACTAACATTGTAGTACGATGTATTAGTGCCACTACAAAATAAAAAAAAACTCTCAATCGACACATTCAATATGTCAATTACACATTTAATCTGGCATTTAGCATTAAGCCAATCAACACATTGAATTTGGCAATAGACATGCACATTTATTCTGGCAATTGACACATTTGATCTGGCACTTCTCATAATCGAATCCAATCCATTTATGATAATATCAATGTGAATTTTTGGAAAGTGAATACGTTCCAAAATCCTGTCAAATTCATAAAAAATATTATTGATAATATCCATGAGACGATCTGTCAAAAAACTTTCTGTCTAGAACTCAACCAAACTTGCGTCATACTCAAGTATGGAAACGCCTGAGAAAGCTCTTGTATAGCGGTAGGTCGGTAGCCAAGCTGTTCGACGTGGGTGCTTTGTTCACTCACTCGAATTGACTGCCGTGTTGGTCGGTGGTTCAAGCCCTAGTCTGAACGATCGATATTCACTTGCTATCGCCCAACCCGTGTTAGGAATCACACGTTAAAAGGTAAGACCTCGTTAATCCTTAGCTCGCACAAGTTTCGACTTCTGAGGGTTGTCGTTCGTAGGGGCGCGACAGCTAGTTGAAGGAAAAACAGATTTTAAACAGATTTGAACGAAAAGTGAAATAAGTCTTGCCGTTCTGCAAACTCTTCAGTAAAAAATTCACAATAAACTGTTACATGGTTACGTTGTTATAGTTTTTCATTGAGTATCAGCCAGTTCCAGCACATTTTGTTTCAGTATGAAGGTGGGTCTACTCTCAAAAAATTAAATTTGGTATCAGGCAACAGGATATTTGACTAATACATAGTAAGTTTTGGCAAATCCCTGCTGGAAAACAAGTATTCCTCAGCACATTTGTGCAGGATCTCGCTGAAATAACTCGTGTGATCCTCTGCAGACCGGATCCGGAGTGTTACTCTTTATTAGTGTAGATAGGATTTAACCAAAACTGCATTACTTACTTCTTCTTTCAACCGCTAATATGAAACTTTCGAATGTAATACCAGCGTCGTATATCTACAATGAAGTAACGACTTGTAACAATCTCGTGAACTCAGATTCAGAAAAGAAAGAAACACCCTGTAGATATCTGTGTATAAAAACTAATAAAGTGCTATCTGTTATTTTGAACTGCCTTTTTTCCACCTGAAAATCTCTTTTGAAAAATATAAATCGAATTTATGGGCATCTGTACATTTGAGAGTTTCAATGATTCACTTTTGATTTCTCTTACTTCAATACAATCAAGAGAAAAATGATGAGGGTAATTATGTATGTAACCTGAATGATAAAAGATGGCCAGAAGATGTTCATGGAATTCATTTTCTGTTTGCCTATACATCTTCACTTGGTAAACTATTTTCTAAGGTTAATCAACAGCAAATATGGAGCAGACTAGGAAAAAATGGACTGTTTGAATTTTTCAATGGAATCTTTCAGTTAGTAAAATTAGCAGTCCCTTGAGAAAGAAAATTTCATATTTCTACGACGAATAAGTAAATATATCTATTTTTGTTTCACATGAACTCATTATAATTTATTGTCCATGTGAATTTTTTTTTCTACCACTGTTGATGTTTTTTTCTTATTATCTTCTATCGTTACAGTTATAACTTCATTTGAATGGCATTTTATATGCTGTAGACAAAAAAACCTTCAAATCATTCGAATAACAATTCTGACAGAAGTATACAGTGTGTAAAAGCCAAATGGAATATATTCATTATTTCGGTTACTGTACATATTTTGAAAAAATCACGAAACAAGTCGAATGTAAATTATAATTCGACATACTTCAACGTAAAAATGCCAATCCTACCTTCAACTCCCTTCGAATGACAGGTACAACCCCAATTTTTTAAACGGGAATTATAAGTTTGTGATATCATTTGAAAGGTCTCAATTCAAAAATGTTATTGCTTTCAAAATTATTGCAACAAGTAAGATAAAATAAATTAAAATCATGTGGTTACCGAAATTCGATAAAATACACTAAAAAAATAAAATGTAATGCAAAACGTAATGAAATGTAGATTACGAAAAAAAACCTATGGATTTTAACGAAGTAGAAGTTCAAAATATTCAGCGCGAACGTCTTGGCAACATCCTAATCTCAAATAAAACTGTCATTAGTTAACATATCAGGCGTGAACCACCTAATCGCGAGCGTTATTCGTTCTTTTATGTCATTCAAATCTGAAGGATTAGTTTTGTACACATTGCTTTCACATATCCCCCTCGCTTCCCTATTTAAAAAATTGGGGGTTGTACCTCTCATTTGACGGGGGTTGGAGGTAATGATAGCATTTTTCCGTTGAAGTATGTCAAATTATTTTTCTGATTGATTCGGCCGTTACTTGATGAAGATCCATAGTAATTTCAAAAACTACACCTCAACGATTTGATCTCCACAAACAAAAAAAATGTCAAATTATATTTAAATTTGACGTATTTCGGGATTTTTTTTCAAATATGTATAGTAACCGAAGTAATGAATTTATTCCATTTGGCTTTTACACACTGTATATGAAAACCACACATCAAATCTAAATTTTGAATGAATACATCATTCATGAAAATTGATGCTTTGTATATCGTATATACTATTTAATTAAAGTTCATATTTTTGTCTCGTTCCGGAGAAATTTGTATAAAGGCACTACCGTGTTTAATAAAACGGTATATCCTCTCGAAATTGATAAAAAACATTGTTTTCCATGTGCTTAGCTCTCTTCTCATGACTTTAAAAGTATGTGTAGCTAATCTCGTGCCATTCTTTTTACAACTTTGAAACTTCTTAAATAGGGGTTTAGACGAGAACTTTGGAAGTTTAATACATATTATCCAACCCCTTTTATACAGGCTTTATGCAAATAAATGGTTTAATTCAAAATTTGTGAGGAAGTAAAACAAGGAAGCCAAAAAATTATTATTCAAAGGGGTGCATACTCGGAGGGTTATTTTAATTTCGGCTGAAATCTCGGGACGAAAAGAATTCAAATTGAAATATCTTTGTTTTTCCGAATATTAACTGAAGCGTATTCATGAAATTGTTCAGTGATTTTGAAATAAGAGACGTACCAGTTGATACAAGACAGGCAT